CCATTTACCAGACCATCAGGAATGCACCAATGAGAGGGCCACAGTACCACCAAAAGTTTCAGTGGTTACTCTCCTTTGGTTGCCATAGAGCTTGGCTCATTGACATCAATGAGGAAGAACAGGATTACAGGTATTATGGTCCAGAGGGTAGCACTTTATTGCCAGTTATGGGACTGCAATTACCATAACAAGGGGCAAGATTGAAGGCAAGCTGAGGGGAGTTGATCTGGAAATATTTATGAAAATATTTAAGAGGACATTGGATACAAAGAAGCAAAATAGATAGCTTGCCAACAAGGATGATTCCTAATATATATTACCAAAAGCTATCAAGAATGAAGAAGCAACAGGCTAAAGTCACCTCACTAGAAAGTCGTGACCATTTACTCAGATCCCAGACTTTAGCCAATTTCAGATCCAGAAACAATTGACCATAGAAGTAGCAAGCTAATAGAGGAAGAATACTGAAATACCATGACGATGATGTACTGTGCTGGTTTCCTCACTCTCCTCAAAAGAGGCCTATGATAATTTACTTGAGAAAATATGTAATGAGGAAAGAATATCCAGACATTTTGAGGTTATTTGGTCTGATTTAATACTGATTCATGGTATCCCTAAGTATTATGCTAGAATGTTATGGTTTGCATCTACAATGGCTCCAAAGTCTCATGTGTTTGGAAGGTGATTGGATTATGAGGGCACCAGAGATGACTTGCTGCTAAGAGGTGGAGTGTATTTGGAAGAAGAGGATCACTGGCCTATGACCTGGAAGAGTACACCTTTCCCCCCAACTCCTCCCCACTCTTTCTGCTTCCTTGTCACCATGATATGAGCAGCTTTTCTCTGCCTGAACTTTCCACTATGCTTTTTTTTTTGCCTTGGAGACAGTCAACTATTGACTGAAACTCCTGAAACTGTAAGCTAAAATAAGCCTCTTCTACTTTAAGTCATGAGTGTTGGATATTTTGTCCCAGCAATGAGAAAATGATTAGATGGAGAACAAAGGCATCCAGACAGGGACAGGTGACAAACAAGCACTATACAAGAGTGAAGGCATGCATGGTATCCTGGCCAAAGTCTAGCACTCAAAGGGCCCAGCAGGTGTGTGGACTCATCTAATGGTTATTCCCAAGTCCCTGACTGTATAATGGAGACTGGCATTCTTGGGTGTTGGAATAACTTCTGCATTGAATTCTTCTTCTAACCACATAAGAACTATTATAATTATAATGGGGAAGACAACGTGGAAGCTGCTGAAACTATACCCCCACAATCCTACTTTCTCAAATCTCACCCCCATATTCAACCCTGGTTAAGATAGTGAATCAAAAAATATCACATTTGGTGGTGGTGGTGGTGGTGGGGTGGTGTGTGTGTGGAGAGGAGGCAGAAATCAGTGGTACTCTGAAGAATCTAAGAAGGTAATGAGTAGAGGCCCATTCTGTAGTCCCATTTAGCCCACCAGTCTAACTACTGCAGAAACCAAATGAAACTTGAAGAATGACAGCGTGCTCATGCAAGCTCAACTAATGACTCCTATTGTGGTTAACTGTGTTAGATAGGTTTGGTATTTTACCTAGTGCATATTAGAAAGTCTTTAGGTACACAATATGCAGGCATTGATCTGACATTCATTTCTATCTGAATCAAGAAAGGTCAGAAAACAGGATCAGAAACTGTTTGCATTTACATGGAATAGACAGCAATATCGATTTGCAGTTTTGTCCCAGGAATGTGTTAGTAGCTCCTGCTCTCTGTCATAATCAGTTGTTATCAGGACTGTCTGGACACCTGGAACAACACTGTGTGGATCAGGAAGGAAAATCAAGAAGTAGCTAACACCCTAGAGGTCTTGGTAAGACATATGCAATAGAGGATGGAAATTAAAGTGGATGAAGGGACTTATGTTTTACTCTTGAAAATGTTTTAGGGGTCCAGCTTAGTGAATGGCATATAAGGTCATCTCTTCCAAGTCACAAATTGCTGTATTTTCCCTCCTATACCAAAGTTTCTGTAGGACCCTTTAGCTTATGGTGGTGACATATTGTTCATCTACAGATGGGCTCCAGGTTATATACCAGATGAGACGAAAGGCTCTTGTTTTGAATGGGGTCTGAAGCAGGAGAGGGGTACACAGGAAGTTAGAGATAAAGTGTGAGATTGATGATTAGCAAAAGTTATGCTGTGAAGGTGTTAGTGTTAAGAAAAGATGCATATTCCCATAGGAACATGACAACACAGACCTCTGGGGTTTCAGAGCAAAGCCACGCCACCAGCAACATAGACTTATATGCCTTGTGAAAAAGAGTTTCTAATGTGTTACCTGAGCCCAATAGAGACAGAATCCCTGATTATAGGATGCTAAGGAAGAATGTGTCAGAAACTATCCATTATGAGCTGGGTTCTATCAGACCCACAGAGTCAGAAACTCAGGCAGGCATAGTAGCAGTCCATCATAAAATTGAATTGTGCATCTGGGATCAATCCTGAGCAAGACTAGAAGCCATAAGGTAATCCCATGAGCAGATTGCTCAACCTCATGTCATCTACTATGGTAGCATCAGGACCCCTCCTTCAGATCATGCCTATGAAAATATAAGGTTCCATGTAACCAACTGAAGGAGGAAAAGTTTAAACCTGTTTGTGGGTCAGCCAGCTCAGTGTTGAAGGGAAGCTAAAAATGGGCAGTGATTTTATCATATTTGGGATGGGAGAGGGCTTGAGAAACTGGAAAGGAAAATTATCCAAATGGACACAGCTCAGAGTTATGCATCCATTCTCATTTTGTGTGGAGGGAGCAGTGGCTTGAGTCAAGAATATATACACAGTCATCGATGAAGTCAAATAGTCTGATAGGCTGGCTGTTCAGGAGTCTGGAAGGAAGAACTGAAAACTTTTCAATGAGAGATATTTGGTATAGAAGAATGTGGATGGACAAATAGGAGTTAGCATTAATGTGTGAAGATTTTGACCACATATTCATGGACAACAGAAGCATCTATCACTTGAACAACCAAGATGACAAAATGCCTTGGTCAATGGGCAGTAGGTCCAGACTTAGAATCTCATGGGGTGGAAATAGAAATGAAGGAGCCCTACATGGGCTCCATCTCATGATTCAGCTACTGATGCTGCTGCAAGTTGAAACTGTCAGCAACAGAGTGTGACACCACTCCCAATATGACATCTTTTAAAAGGTGACCTTCAATTAGTGATTTTCTTTGACGTGATTTTCTTCAATGTACATCTAACATTTGTAGTGATATGTTCATCATTTTCTTGAAAAATCCTAGGAATTTTATTACCTGAAATGCTTTGCTTTATTACCTATAGTACCCTCAATGGTGGGTTATTTCCCACCCTTACCCTCATCCTGATTAAATTGAGAGGCAAAAATTTATAATCTGTAAACTTTGATGTTAAAAAAAGTAGTAATGTTAAATGGCCTATCTCAGGAAAGGAAAACGAAGCAGCAAATTGTGATATCTTTACCAATCATAACTGGGACATTCAGTCAATAGTATATGTAAAATTTCATATAATATGGTCCATAAATGCTTGTTGAATAAATATTAATAAAAGTATTGCCCTGTATAAATTGTCTTCACAGATATTGGTGTTTGGACACTTCACATTTTAATGGAAATTATAAAATGTTGTACCCCTTTTCTGTCTTAAAATTTTTTTATAACTTCAGTGTTTCTTAATAACTGTGTCAACATATAAATTAGCAGGGGTGTCCTCAGGGGTTGATGACGTGTATTAGGAGGAGTTTGTCACTCAACTTACTGTTTGTAGTCTCTTCTTCTCTAGCCGATGTGTTTGCTTTAATACTTCTTATTTCCTGCTCTGATTTCCTGCAGGTATTAACAGACATCAGAGCGCTACATTGAAGGTTGAAAGGAAAGAAACCAACCTACATTAAGGAGATTTTACTAAGAAGGTATCTGGTCCTCACGGCAATGATGACTCTGACCTTATGAGAAATTGAATCAGCACCTGGCAAAACAGTAGCACGAGTCTCTCCTTCTCCTTCTTCTCCTCCTCCTTCTCCCTCTCCTTCTCCTTCCCCTTCCCTTCACCTTCCCCTTTCCCTCCTCCTTCTCCTCCTCTCCTCCTCCTGCTCCTTCTTCTTCTCATTTTCTCTCTTTTCTTCCTCTTTTTCTTCTTCTTCTTCTTCTTCTTCTTCTTCTTCTTCTTCTTCTTCTTCTTCTTCTTCTTCTTCTTCTCCTCCTTCTTCTTCT